GATTTCCTAATAGTTTTAAGCAAGAAGAGTCCGTAGAAATCTTTTATTATGACACAGTATGTTAAGTTGCCACTTACAGGAAACGCTAATTGCTTCCATACGAAGCTGGAGTTGTTTGCAGTGAGCAAATGCTTCAATTCATCGTAGTTCCTTCGATGCTCTGCGATTTTTTAAAAGTCTATAGTGGTTTATTGTACTGCATTCACTTGTATCCTGGACACTGTATCAGCCATGCCCCATTCGCGCGTCTTATATCAACGTTAAGCTGTGATATAAAGTCGAGGTCGCGAATATCCTGTGATAAGGATTTTGAAGTTTTGCACTGAGTGCGTAAATGAGATGGTTTGGTCTGTAAATCTCGTGGGTGACCCACCTTCTACCATGTGGCGGAAGTGTTTTTACGGCCAGGCGAAATCTTAGCAACCGTCCGCAAGAGGTGGAATAACTTGTTTCCAATGATTTAGGATGTTAAGAAAAGAATGCGACATTTTCCTAGATATTACCAAAACACTGAATTACGACTGCTCTTAGAGCCTCATAATATGCATTTAAAATTATATAAAGAGACGCATCTGCATCAGCAAACCTTAGTGTTATAGTCCTTGCCGATGTATCCCACAGTTGTAAAACTGAATCAACTGCTTATATCCATAGCTCATTTCCTTACCTTTCCCTGCAGTGTATCAGTGGGAGCCCGCATATGTTGTTCATTATAAAGTAAAACACTAATGTAGAAATCGATAAACCGTATAAAACCTCAGGGTAAATGGAGGAAACTCGGCAGCGCAAACATCCGCAGGAAGCAATACCCTTTGGGCAATACTGAGATTCTGATACAGTAAATCACGTTACCTGAAAACTCCATTCAACTAATCAAAAGCCAACTCTCAAAATACTTGCGTTGTGAATGACTTTACTAACGATATCTACAACAGCACAGCCAACAAGAGAAACGCAAAAGATAGTAACGAACCTGCTTAGGATCTGGACAACAAGGAAAACTCTTTTTTTGTACATGAGTGACGTCAGTTTACAGGCATCAGAAATATGATGAATTACGTTTACGACTAGTAAGCATATTCAGTAAGGATAATATAATAAGGTACATATTTATTCCTACAAATGTAGGACACACCAGTTGTACAGGCATGGATAAGTATTGTTTAAATTACATAAATTTGATCTGTGGTTAAATTACATGGTTGCTGTCTTTTCATCTGTAGTTTGTGGGAAAAATTTGACCACTAGTGATTCATTGGACCATATCAAGAAATACAGAGATATTGACTTCGCATTAACAAAAACCCAAGTATGTGTTGGATGGATTACAGATACTTGGGAAAAAATAAATCTTGAAGTCATCTCCCTCATGTAACAATAAAATGCATCTTATAATAATATATTCTCACTTTATGCATATGAGGGACTCCAGCTTACAGGCATCATCAGTATGATAATAATGTATACATGGAGTAAGCATGTTTACAATTTTTCACTGACACAAAATGTACATACAAGGAAAGGTAATCGAATAATGACAGTGAGCACATTCTGCAAAAGTTAAAACAATTTATATGATGTAATCCTAGGCACCATTATTGTTTGAATTTGTCGAAAACGAGCGTAACAAATGAGTGTTGCGTTACATTTGGTCGATATGATGGACTACTCACAAATGTATAGAAATGGGTTATATAACGTTAGTTAGTTTACCGTAAACGATGTTTTAAGCAATATAATCTGCAAGAGCTTAAGCTATTAACTAAATTACTAGTGTTCCTAAGAACACGCTCTTTAGAGTTTTGGCCCATTATTTTTGGCGGTAATATAATAGAACCGGAAAATTGAATATCAGCGAAAACACGTGCAAAAGTGTCACCAAATTCGAACGTACCGTACGCCTTCCCAATATATTAGTGTGGTGAGAGCTGCTAGCTAAAATTTGTAGACAGCAATTTACGTCGCTGTTTACGTTCAAAATCTGGGTCATGGGAAAAAACAAGAACAAAGACTAACCTTGAGGAACTCAATAACTAATCACAACAGACTTAGCGTGGGCGGATACGATTCGCAAATATACCACCGGACTGTCTAAGAAACGGCAACGAAGAGATGACAGAATAACCTCCAGCAGGAAGAAGACGTTGCTTCTCTGCTAACAATAACGAATAATAATGTACATAAAAATTTATCAATATCTGTTGATTTTCTAAATGAACAATCTGTTGCCTGCCCTTGTTTTCTTTTAATAAAATAGGATCTGCATTACTGGAAGACGCCGCACCTATCCGTCATTCGAAAAACATAAACATATCGATGGGTTAACTATTATCAGTCCCCAACCATACTATTCTCTAATTGGTCTTTCAGGGAGTAATCCGTGACCAACTATTTTTGCCCGGATTACACGTGCAGTATACGAATGGTTTGATGTCATCAAACGATACCCATGCTGTTTTTCTTAGTGGAGCTACGGAGGTGCTGAGACAAATGATTGGTTGTAGTGCCGCAACTGCTAATATGGATGGAGCCTGTGACCTGGAAAATATCCGTTGCTCCCCTTCAAAACGTGGATCCGGGTCTGATGTCAACACAAAAAACAAATGGGTCATCATTTTTACAAAACATACGCGCCCACGTGGGTGAATACAAAAATAAAGAAATTTTTGCAATTTTCATTGTTTTTTCGCCCCGTAGGCATCTGACTTCGCCTGCTGTATTTTATGACTACCTGCCTTAACAGTTTTTGAAAGAGATGTTGGCCGTATCGCTACGGAATTTTTAAATATAGTTCATTGCATCCATAGGACCATAATACCCAATGCGCCTAATTATCGCAGTAGTACTGCTTCAAAAAAATTACTAAGGGTTTGCTGCATATCAGATTCCTGTTGCATCTGTTGTATTTGCAAAGCTCTGTCTAGCACATAATACCCAGTAGGGTTTCAGTGTTATTGTCAATGCAAGTCTGTTTTGTTGCAATCTATAACTGTTTAGGAATGCAGCCAGTGTTAAGGGTATACGTATTATTCGTAGGAGAATAAGGACCCTAAATTAAGTCTAGAAAACCCCATCAAAAGCAGTATACTGAACCGTAAATAAGTGGCCTGTGACGCAGTAGCAAGAAAAGCCTTATTATTGAATGATATCGGGTGATAAAGGTTCGAAGTAGTGGGATGTCCACTTCTCTGTGAAAGGAGCACAGGAACACCAAGTAAGCCAACAGTATGTTACACTTATAAAATCAGTCTGGACTGAGTCTGCTAGTCTGCCTCACAGTCACCTATCACCAAAACACGTAGGCAACTAACAACTAAAGTCAATAGCAGTCAATTTAACCTAGTAACTTTCTTTCCCTGTTGACTCAACATCATCCACAAAATAAATTGCTACTACTACTTCGTCTCGCATCCATGAACACAAATTTTCCGTCAAAAGACACGATATTCACTCCCTCATAACGCTACGTACGGACAACTACAGACATCAATTTGACTGGGACAGCGCTCAAATATTAGCCAGAGGAAACAACACGAACTCCAGGAGATTCTTGGAAGCCTGGTATTCCAGTGAATCGGCAGTTGACGGGCACAGGCAAAATTTACCAATATATAAGAGTAAAATCTCACACACAAGAAGTCGAACTTCAGATCAAGGAAAAAGTCAATACCACTACAATTAGACTAGAGGGAGGGGAAGCAGGAAGAAGCAGTCAATCACGTCCAAGGACACCAGGAGGGATGACCAATAAACTCGTGGAGAAATTTGAAAGCTCACTTCAAACTGAAGTATGTGCTGAAGATTTTGCCTAGTAGGGCAATGAAAGCTTCGCAAGTAAACCATCCAGCTCGAAAAACATTTACGTGATTTACGAACAAGTAGAATAGTTAATTTTATTGACTGAACCTGTGCGTAAGTGTGTATTTATGGTAATTCATTAGTATGATCACTGTCAGTGTTTTGTTCTCAAAACGTCATGGTTTTAGTGACATTTCATCTCTGTTATATAAATTGGACTTATGCAATATGGAATTATATGCTACCGCAGTGTCTTGATTCCAATGTTTAAATCTAGAAGAATCGGGACTTAGGTTTGCGAATCACTTCCCTACAATCCTGACACACTGTACGCCTCCACCACTTACGACGACGAAATAAGAAAACAGGATAGATCCTGTTGCTATCTACCAAAGTACCATATTTTGTTCTCTAAGCAAATTGAATATAATTAAATAAGAGCGACTTGGTGATCTTTACCCAAGGTTCATGATCAACTGGCAGCTTAAATAGCAGACCTACCGCCAACCATCTTCAAGATATCCTACTTACACGGAGAGTTACGATGTGTCTATAGTGATTTAATAGCGCCCTGTATCTGTGTGGGAGGATCTAAGTAAAGTCCTTCGAACTACGGATTCACTATTGACCCCCTAAGTAAAGATATTGGAAGCAAAACTGACGAAAGCTATTATAATATAATTGGAAGACCATGACTTGCTATATGATTGAGAGCTTTCGGAAAGACCTCTTGTTTTTGACGAATCCTTTCTCAGCCGTGAAAGCTTGTCGAAGCCTGAGGATGACGGAAACCTCTACAGCACTGTTTTCATTTGTAAATAGTTGTGGCTGTCGATGAGGAGCTTCATATAACATGGCTCATGAAACTGCAGGGTTTAGGAGTAAATACAGACTCCTCAACCGAAAAAATGACTCCTAGTAGGTGGGAGAAAACGAAATGACTATGAGCAAATGAATATTTCGATGCAGACGGAGAAGAGTTCAAAACTCTAGGAGGAATAATACCGCTATAGACTACTGGTTCTCCTCTTATGTGTTTACCTCCTGACACCTACCTCTAGAGTGTATCTACATCATCAATCGACTTGCCGAATAAGCGATTCAATAAGCACAGGTTAATAACAGAAAATGATTAATGAAGGACTGAAGCATTCTATCGACAACTGAAAATCCGAAGTCTTCGTAGGCGGGGCCTTGTAAGTAGCGTTACTTGACTTTAATATTGTGCTAATTTACGATCTTGTTAATTGCTATTCGGAATGTCATAACTTATTATATATGAATTATTGACCTTGTGAGTCATTTTTATTCAGTATTCGGCAACAGTTAAGAGTAAACAACACCAGGATGTTCGCCACCAAAATTCAAGTCTTGAGTATCCGGAGTTTCAGATGAGCTCTGCAGCTATCACTACTTCAGATAAATTTGGCTTACATGCTAATAAGCCAACCAAGGTCATTTTAATATGTGGCATTCCCAAATGTTTCCACGCCTCTGACTTAAGGATGTTTTTCTCTCAGTTTGTGGAGTCATCTAAATTTGCATGTTTTCATTATCGTCACAGGCCGGATGTGGAGGTAGAGGCTGGAACTGAACTTGATGGCCCTAAACTCCTTAAATGTATCAAGCAGAAATCCAGAAGTACAGCAACGTGTTGTGCAGTTCTCTTGGTTTTCGAAGAGCACGTCGATGAATTTTTTCGCCTATATAACTGTGCAAATTGGTTGGATCCAAATGACATACCTCTGGATTCAAAATGCAACATGTATGTCGTGAAATGTGGAAAGACGGATGGTATGTGTTATTCTGTACCTAATTAGTAATAATTTCAGGTGTTGAAAACTTGCTTGAGTTCAAACCTTTGTCGTGGATGCCTTGGGGGAACGTTGGGACACCTACCCTACATTTCTTCAACTTAATAAAGGAATGCAAACTGGAGAGCTCGCTAATTTCGAAACTTGGTTTGAACTTCTCTGTCTGTGCCAGAAACCGGAAATACGGTGCTGTACCTTTCGATTATGGCAATTCAGTTGTCAGCAATGTAGAATCACACTCTTCTCCGGAGGATTTAGAGTGTGGTTTGACTTACAACTCGACCATTCACACTCAGGTATGTTTGTTTATCTCAAAGGATAGCGTAAACTTATGCTAGGCTTGTTGGGTTTTTGTTTTTCATTAAGTAAAGTTTGTAGGTTGAAGATACGATCAATTCGCTTCAGTGCTTTTTCGTTTTTCTAACTGTTGTCATATTGAGAATCTAAACTGTATGTTTGGATCATGCAACTCAAATATCAAATGACTGCTGAGAAAAAAAATGTTTTCCATTATCCAAAGCTGGAGTTTTATAGTGATTAACTAATTGCTCAGAAGTAAACATACACTTTAATTATTCGTACTACATCACTAGAAACTGGATCTGTCAGTGGAAACTGACTTTCAAATACTGTTTGCCATGGAAAAGTCTTTAAGCCTATCTTGTTTCAATAAATTTTCACTGCAAGTGAATTGGATTGGTTGGACACAAGACATGTTCCTGACTGTAATGAGAAGTTGAAGACCAACCACGTCGTCCAGTACTTTTTGCAAACACAAACAAATCGGTCTAAATACATAACTACTCTTTCACTCTTTTGAGACGGAGCTGGTCAGTAGCTTTTGGTGTTACCTCCACTGAGCCTAATGATTTAGTTGCAAAGCTCTTCTTGTCCTTGTTAAGTGGATTAAGATAACTGGGACGTTTTTGGTTTAGCTGTGAATTCGTATTGAACTTACTGCTGAAAATTTGTCCAGAAGGACGTTGAAACCTTTGTAGCTAAAGCATCTATCTCAGAAAACATAACGACACCAAAAGCATCTACCTGAGTTACAAAACTCTACCATTTCTCCAGCTAACTGATTAGAATCAGTTGAGAACACTGGAGTTCTGGCTACCTACTTAAGCGATCGGGTAGTAAATTTTGTTATTAGTAGATAACTGCATTTGCGGTGAACATTCATCAAAGTTTCCTTTTGAAACCAAAAAATATTCAAATTAAAATGTATGTTCAATGACAGAAAGATAATAAAACAATGCACAGATGGATGCATGTTGCTCATTGATTTTAAATATGCTTATTACAGTATGCCTATATCTTCTTTATTGCTGCTCAACCAAAGGATGAATAACCAGGTTGTTAAAGTGACTAGGAAACATGAATGCACTTTTTATGTGCACTTATTGTTTCATGTGACGAACGATTTAACTTATCGCTAAATATTTCCAGGAGTCACTATGATCTCCGTTCGGGAAAAATATGGTTGGATATTTTGAGGTAATCCAGTGTTACAGCACTTAACACAGTAATTAAATATCCCTCTGTTTTCAACCAGTCCTTCCTCTTAAACGTCTTATTTCATTTCGTTTATTATATTTCTTTTCGCTTCACTGAAGTCTCATAAAACTATTTTTAATTTTCTGCTGCAGTCAGATCCAACTTCCAATGACAATTTTGCTAATGTGGTGGATATTGATAGTGATGATGATGTTCCTGAAGAATGGGATCGTTTTGAGGCACTACATGATGATCCATACAATTTAGACAGAGGAAACAAGGCACAATTAAAGTATGAAAGTAAAGTTGAACTCGTCTGGGAAAAGGGTGGTTCAGGTCTAGTTTTCCATACGGATCAACGTACATGGGAAAAATTGGATCCACTGAGAAAGGAAGAGATTTTCGACGAACCTTCCTCTTTTGACTGGGATATTGACATGCAACCTTATGAAGTTCCAACTGATTTGGGGACTGGTCCAACTCCAAATGGATTTATTGGCGGAGAGAGAGATACAACCGAACTTATTGACATAAATCGCGAAAGAGAATCCATGAATGTTAAAGATCTTGCCTACGATCCGTATGCTGCTTTTAAGAATGAAGTAATCAGCAAAGTTAGTTCTTTTCTATTTATTATTTGTGGCATTTTCTGTTGTTTTGCTGTCTGAACTTAGGTTTCCTTAACTTTTCATTCGTTGAAGTTAAAGGGCCTAAATCTGATTTATATAACCACTTTTACCGTTGTTTAGTTATTAGGAACCGGATGTGTGCAACGTCTCTTATCCCGAATACTGCTTTATTATTTTTCTTTAAAATTAATAAATACAGTGCAAATACAAATCCCAAGGTAACAAAGGTGTAGGGGGAACTAAGAGTGAGTACGATAAATCTACGAAATATCAGAGTAAAAATCCAAGTTAATGAAAGAATATTGAAACAGTATATTATGAAAATACAGATAATGTGTTATAAAAAATAATGGTTACTTGAAAATACAGTTACAGTCCACTGCTACAAACTATTAATATAATCCACAGATCTGTTTCACTTCTGGGGTCTTGTCCACTGGTAGAAGTTGTTTACCTATTGTAGAATAGTCTTCGAACGAGAATGAGATGTTCCTGCAATTTCCATAAAATACGACACGGGTGTTAATGGAGCAGGTAAACAGTTTGAACCAGTGAGAAAACGAAGTGACAGAAAGCACAACTATATTTCCATTCGAACGCCGAAGTTATTATGATTTTACGAGGAAGTCGATTGACAAAAAAGTTATGTACAGTGTGTCCATTTTTGACATTTAACAAAAACTGTACAAATTTATTGTCTAGGACTCCACAAGGTTTTTGATAATATACTGAGCTTTATCTCGTGAGTTTGTTTTAAGAAAGGATTTGGTACCCATTCGTCTTTATTGAAGAGTTCACCTGTTAACGTGCTTAACTATTCTGATTTGTACGTAATACATTTGCAAACTACTTCCGAATCAATTTGTCTTTTTTTTACTGTATCTGACTCGCAAATTATCCTAGACTATCCGTTTCGGACTTGTAATATGTTTTGCAATCTGTTCATGCTTCATTTGATCTTTATGCCTAAAAATATTTTATATTACATGATTTTATCGAGAGTAACTGATTCCCCATGATCAGCGTAGTCAATATGTCAAAAATCATCACTACTTAAATTGTCGAGGCTTTTGTTTCACATCTGATTAGAAATGAGAATGTGCGCCTTATACTTCGGATATACCTGAAATGTCATTCTACGGTGGCACATAACATTATTTGATGAAGTTGTAAACATTGTATTAAATTAGCGAGGATGTTTTCTACACAGAAGAGCGTAAGCCTAAGTACATTAATAAACACGTAACATAGCGCTAGAGGATTTAAGTAGTTTTGATTTTATGCCGAAAATGCATATAAACTTCAGGATTAACAAGTACTGATCACTGGTGTCTGTAGAAACACCACTTTTAATACTACTTTACTACTTTATGGTTTGCGTTTTGGACTGAAGTTATGAGAACGTGTTGTGTTCTCAGTGCGAAAAACTATCAATCTTCATACAGAAGGAGGCAAATATATTATTGATACAGATGTTTGTCTTACTGAAATTTAAGAAGTCACATAGAGGCCTCTTTCTACCAGTAACATACCCATTCCCAACAGTACGCTTGATAAAACATACACTTTTCAGCGAAAGTAAACCGTAAGTATTTTTATAAAAAATGAGAACATCTTACATTCTTCACTTTCCCACCTATTTGTTTATCACTTTGTGTTGCTATATCAGGCATATACTGTTTCCTTCTTTAAACTTTCAAACAGATGGAAATAGTGTATTATGATTTTTTTCTGTCTGACCAATTTTTTTCACAGGGCTATGGCGGGAAAATTCTGGAACGCATGGGTTGGATTCCTGGTACTGCACTTGGAGTCAAAAAAGATGGTTCGAAATTTATTTCAGGACTGATAGATCCCATCACTTGTGAAGGTAGTTTACCTCCTAATGTTCGCACAGGTCTTGGTTTCTATGGCCCACCTATTCGTAGGCAGTCGTTGAATGCGAGGATAACAGCGGATACTCAAAAACAGGAAACCAGGTCTGTATATATCCGGTCTGTGTTTGATTCACCACAGACTGTTGCTCATCGTAGTGGACTTGGTTTATTTCCTAGTCTTTTGAGACGTAATGATCCTGGTTTGGTTGTAAAGTGGCTGCGTGATCGGGAGGCTTCATCTAATCCCTTACCAAATGCTACATCTACAGTTTTAGACGGACCTGTTCCAGTTAAAAACCGTACAATTATTTTAAACAGCTATAACAATGTATCAAAAGAAGGTATTTCTTTTATATCCGGTGGTTATTTGAATCCACCATGATCATTTTTATCTTTGTAAATAAAGCCCTTGTATATAAGTTTGTCTTGATTACTTAACATTTTACATCAGACGTGTATTAACCAAATACTTTTTTCGTGCTAAAAACTCTGTGATAAATATATGTAGTATTTTCGCACATTAAATGTTTCTTTTATTTAAAAGTAATAAATTACCTAGTTCATACTGAACCAAACATGAATTAATTCTTCAGGGTACTTAAATCTGCTAACAGTGTTTTGACTACGTATGTTTTTGAATCAGACTCTGTTTATCATTCAGTTTATTTTCTTGGGGTTATATGCATCAATATAACTAAAAGTTAGCGAACTCTATCATCTGGATGTATGTTGTGTCTCTGAGTTAAGGATACCAGCTGAAAGTTGACTTAGCGTCACGTGGCCGAAATATAGAATCTACATAATTTACCCTAAAGGTGTCAGAAAATTCTCTGATTGATATAAGTATAAAACTTGGGCACTGTGGTAGAGCATAACTCGATTATGGATAAGATTTTATTTTGATAAATCACACAGTGTTGTACAGTAATATTAACTGATGACGTTTCGAGCATAACTATTGTCATAATCATATTATTCTCTGACTGGCTTTAGTGAACTTGTCGTTGCAGTAAAATCAAGGGCGGACAACTCACTGCTTGATTGTATCCTGGTGTACAGTTAACTGGATAATGTACGGCTTAATGGGACCTTAACACCAAAAACAGTGTAGCAACATTCATCGATGATTTTTCTCAGTCTCCTTTTATGCACCTATTAAATGCAGTTCAGAAAAAGGGTGTCCGTTTTAGATGTCCAATTCACTGCATAAAACAAAATACTCAAACTTGGTCATATTTGCAGCCATTCTTGATGTTGGTGTAGGAAAACTGAGCGAGTCAGAAAGACATAGGTTATATAATGCCGACTGATCAACAACGGTGGTAGTCTTTTACAAGTTTGTTCAGGTTACCACATGTTTCTGATCAGCACTAATTTTAAATATAAAGACATCTTACTTGGTGACAGCCGATTTCAAGACATAAATAGATTGCTTAGCCATAGTTTATCAATGGAAAGAGTCAGTAAAACACTGTCTATTTTTCTGAAACATCTGCACAAATTCCAGCTATGCGTTAGTATGTGTATGCCTGTAACTGGATAGATGTAGAAAATTTTCAGATACCAAGCCTTATGTCCAGATTTTCGATGTGAATATAAGATCTGTATTTAGGGTGGAGATAACTAAATGCAAATGTGATACCAATAGCTATCATGAGGAAATAGAAACATTTACATTCTGCTGTGGTAACAGTAGTGAAGACTACTAATAACATGCAGCCAGGACTTAGTAAGTGGCAAGGGAATTTCGCGGCTTCATCCGAAGCGACTGATACTGGAAAACTGCTCCCAGCTAGTTCTGAACATATCGATTAGCGAAGTCTGCTCAAACGTAAGCGGACTAAAAGTCTTCACAGCCAATGTGGGGAGTGGTGAGCAACAAAAGAAATGGAAATGATTTCAACAGTAGGTTATATTTGTCTGATTTATGTGGTCTTAATAACTGTCAGTTATTAAGATTCATCAAAGAAACGAGCTCTAAAATAGCTATGTCAGGGGAAATTTTTTCTGAGATGGATGCAACTTCAATAAAATATTAGCAGGAGAAACGGAATCGTTGGTCCGAACACTATGGAGTAATTCAACTGGCCTACAATTGCCCACCGTTTAGACGGTGCAGACCTACATCTAACTTTTGCCAGGGTTGTACAAGCTGTCTCTAACTCAAAGCTTGACGAAGCAGTAGACTCAGGCGGTCTAACTCCAGAGGTGTTTAGGTGTTGACTAGACCAACCAATTTATTAGCCAGTGTGTAGAGATACAAAATATTTTCATTTGACTAGTGTATATCGGTAATCATGCCCGTTTATAAGAAAGGAAGCAAATCTCCATTAATGCCTGGATGGGGATTATCCATGAAAATCTCCATTTGATGAAGAGTCTCATAGATTTAAAGTGTGCAGATGATATAGTTTTAGGTGAAAACACATATCAACATGAGATCTGATCCTGTCAAATGTAAGATACTGCTGTGGGACTGGTCTCCACCGACTACTAGTGTAAGGATAGGGAGTGGAATGGTTAAGTGTACTAACCGCCTGACTTTTTGGGAAGCTTAACGGAGTAGTTGCATAAGAAATCTCAGTGCATATAGGGACTCTCGTTCTCTATTTGTCAACTTACTCCATGAGATATGATGATTCACTTGTTTAGACCAGAATATTACCACTTTAAAATCTTTTTCAGCCACTTGGATTTACTCAGTCAGCTAGTACCGTTGGCCTGTATAGCCGTAGTCTACTACTTGATTGTAAGCATTGAAACGCAAATAGTTTGACAGCCGACCAATCAGATTTCGTCTTCTATCATGCCAATTATGACTGTCAGGTGACGATTAGTTAACCATATGTGAACTCCTGCTATTTAGGGTTGTATACCTTATTTTTGTTTCCCTATGTACACGTAAATGTAACTCATTAGGAATTAGTTTCACATGTGAATGCTTTTTGGTGTGTTTCTGTCTTCGTTCAAAGGACAATTGTTTGCATTTATCGCTATTATATAACTAGTGCTTTTGTGTTTCAAAGAGTTACAGTTTGAGATATATTACCTGGGTTATAATTATGATAAAGGCCAGACTATATGTCGTAAGTATTGATAGCGATGATTAAGAAATCTGTAGGTAAATTAAATCGCACAATAATTACATATCAATGGGATGAGTTCGATTCTGGAAAGTGCTAATGTATTAAACTGATGTTGGGGATAATTATTCTTCTGGTCTGTCTGTTTTCTCTAAATATCGTGACTATTCTTCAGAAATATATTCAGGAAATGAGTAAAATTTTGTTTCGTAATCATGACATTTAAATGAAATTTGTGTGGTCACTTGTTGATTTCTTCCTAACTGATGCTTATGAGCTTTCTCAATCATTAATTTAACTGAAAGAAAATGAATATACTGATCAAAGCGAAGATGATTCGAATTAAGGTCATCAGGTTAGCAGACGTGCGCACCTACCTAGTCTTTCTATGGAGAAACATAAGCGTAAGGTTAAAAAAAAGACCTCACCAATACTATTTAAATTTCACCACACTTGCAGGCTTTCATCAACTGCTGCATTCGCCGGCTCCATACTGAAGATCAAATGGCCAGAAAGAATAAGTAACAAGAAACTATGGGAACAAACCAACCAAGAGCTGATCGCTCAATAAATATGTAGGAGAAAATGGAGATGGATCAGGCATACATTGAGGAAACCGTAGAATGACATTGCGTGCCAGGCCCTCGAGTGGAATCCAAATGAAAAGCGACGAGTTGATCGTCCTAGGGTAACACGGAGGAAGAGACGAGAAATTATGGATAATCATGGACGCAGCTAAAGAGGATGGCAGAAGATGTGTTGTTGAAGCCCTATGTTCCACTCGGAACCCAAGGGAATAATAATACATTCGTAGTCACTTACGATGGTGCGTTTCACAAAGTCGATGGGGAAAATAAAATATAATACGTGCAGAAGTAACCTTCGATACGAATAAGGGGATCAGCTTCGAACTGGGATAAATTAGGGGCTATACATGAATATTTAATAGTAACACAATGTGCAACTCAGAAACATATAACTTTCTTCACAAAACGGTAGCAGCTGAACAACCAATAAAAAGTAGGTAGTATTGGCATTAATCATCCATTATCACAAGATTAAGACCCAGTTGTGTGCGACTCCGAAGTACTATCAGTCAACCAGACAGCTTCATCTGCATTCAGCTTAACTAAATATGAGCACTATTAATTAATTTACGCTCTCCGTTCTCCGATCAGTAGAACTCTCACAAGCCTAAAACACTGAATGCATTTTTCAGTAAATTTATTAACGCTGTGCTATCAACTACGGGCGGAACTGACGAGGATATCAAAGCAAGATTCGGGAAAGCAAGACAAGCTCTCACTACTCTCATGTCTGTGTGGAGGTCAACAGCACTCAGCATCACAAATAAGATCCGGATTTTCCACTCCAATGTGAAGTCAGTGCTACTATTCGGATCAGAGACTTGCACTGCGCGTCATAAAGAGCATCTCAAGCAAACTACAGACCTTCATTAACAGTTGTCTTCGCTGAAGATGAGCAGATGGCCAGCAAAGATCAGCAACAGAGATCTCTGGCAATGAACGAACCAACCAGGGACCGATTGTGAAACAAATATGCAGAAGGAAATGGAGATGGATTAGCCATACTGTGAGGAAACCATCAAGTGACATCACTAGACAAGCCATTGCTCGAGTGGAACCCGAAAGGGAAGCGGCGAGTTGGTCGTCCAAGGGTGACTTGGAGGAGGTCATGTGAAGAGGAGATGAAAACGTGTGGGCAGACATGGAGCCAGGTGAAGACTCTAGCAGAGAACCGAACGCAATGGAGACGCACTGCTGAAGCCCTATGTTCCTCTAGGAATTAAAGGATAAAATAATAATAATAAATTATTCAGAAGATTCAGGGCATCTTTAGTAGACTCACCATTCTAATCTGTGTTGGTTGTGTAACAAAAAACAGGCAATACACGGAAGCCAAAGTATATTTTCAAGTTATGGAACCTCTATTTATATCTACACAGTTTATATTCTCTAACCAATCATTGAGCGTATGATAGTGGCTTATATTAAACAACATGAAATAGAATGTTCAAATACATAGTATTCTGTTGATATCGCAGTATTGAACTGTGCAAAAGTATTCTGTCTCTAACATCAAACAGAATGTTCAAACAGATATATCGCATTCTGTTGCTAATGCTGTATTGAACTGTAGGAATATGTGAGAATAATATTCCATTGGAACACATTACCTGTATCACACCAACACAGTTGAACTATTTGCCCGGAATACATACTGTTAAAAGGATTTGAAGAACTTGACAAATAGGTACTGACCAACCGGTATTCCAGCCTCATAATTAGAAATCCGAACTAATAATCCGGAAACCAGGTTTTCCTATCACCAATGGTCATCCATCAGTTGATTCTTCGATTTCTTCACCCTCATTATCCATAAATGTCTTATTTTCAAGTATTGGTTTTGTAGGAATTTTTTTGTTTGATTGGATGGAGGATTTCATCATGAGCTGACATCATTTAGAGAACCACTGGAAAACGTGGGAGTACTAGACAGCTGTTTTGTCCTAGCTTGGGACAATGTCTTATCATCAAACTTTTATTTTGGTGAAGAATCCTTTAAAATCAGTGTTCAGTTGTATTCGCGAAGAGACCTATCTTTCTAATCTGAGATTACGTTTCATTTCACTATTTCTCCTTCATCTGTTGATTAGAATATGGAGTGAACTGATAGAGTGTACCTCACTTATTCTGGATGTTTTATCTGCCCGAATAGTCCGGTAGCTGGCGAAATCCTAGCACGGGTACAAAAGGTTCAATTTTTACTTGCGAACTATTTCTAAATCTGGTGTAAGAATCAGTGTATCTAGCAGAAATTAATTATGTTATGTTTTATAGCTCTTTGAAGTGAGAAATCCAGGGACGTCACAATTTATTATCACAAGTATCTTTGTAGAATTCCCCGAATATACCGGGAAAAATGGTAATTTATCTGTCATATGAATTCCTAAAGGTAATGGAAGGTATGAAATGTCGGCTACTCTAAACTCATAATCATACAGAAAAGATGTGGAAATGTCTGTCTAATTTTGGGCGACATAAATATGCATAAATCCTAGGGTAAATTCAACTTAGTGCTTTTAACATATTTATTTTATAATTCTAGAATAGCTGACTATAGGACTAATCACTACAGTATAACGTTTATCCGATTTTATTAGTAGGCTAAGATTTCAGAAGGTTATGCTACTTCACATATTGTGCTAGATGGTTAAATTATTACAAATATATGCTATATTTACCATAAATTTGTCATTAGTGTATTGAAATAAATATATATATGTCCAAATAGAATTCACAGCAAACGAATATAAATTTGATGGACTACTTCTCATTTTACTATTAAACATTATTTCTTAACAGCCGACTCCTGTTGCAGCACCACAATCATATTCTGAGGATATCAGCTTATTTCTTTTTGCCTTCTAATTATTTTATTTTATGTTTCATATTGTTCAGTGCATAAATTAGCTGAATCCACATCGATATATACTATCTTTGGTGAATTAGTTGTAACTTCACCAAATGGTTTTGGCTGTTCATAGTTCCGCTTTGAAATTTCGTTATAATCCAAGTGCGCACTGTTTTTCGGCTTTTGTTGTTTGTATCCTAACATTGACTTTGAACATTTCTTAGTTGTAACAGATGATTTCATATTAATTACTGTTGAACTGTCATGAATTAATCCATTGTAGAACTATAAATTAAGGAATATTTAAGTAGTAAATTTATTACTAGTTTTGAAAATTTTGTTTTTCATTTACTGGGAAATACAAACTTCTTATAGTGACTGGTTTATTACGCTAACTAATATGACTGCGTGTGTGGTGGGGGTAGGGGGGCACAAATCAATGTACAATTTAACAATAGATAACTTTCATCACAAAAAAAACAGAAGCTAAACGACCAGTGAAAATCATGGAATACTAGTGTTAGTCGCCTATGATCCTGATAGGAAGTTAACCTACAACCATCACAGTGTATATCACATGGCTGGAGTCGAATTGTGTATGACCCCTTACTACTGTCAACTGGTGAGAAAGCTTTACCTGTATTCAGTTTCATTACTAAGTAACTATATTCGCAACTTGCTTCATCTTTGGTAGAGTAGGTGTCATATCCTGCTACCATCAAAGACCGAGTATGCCGTTCTACTTTACAGTTGCACACTACTGACAAAGAACCAGCTAACTGGAATAGTTGCCTCGCATTTCTGTCTTCAAGGGCTCTCATTTTGTCACTGATTCTTTACGCTCTCCGTTCTGAGATCAGTAGAACTCTCACAAGCCTAAAACACTGACTGCATTTTTCAGTAAATTTATTGACTCTGTGCTATCAAGTCGTCCAGGATAATAGCTCACAAAATGATAATTTCCGTCAGGATTTTTTTAGAAGGTAGGAAGCCTAGGACTTGGGTTTCGTGCTTGCTGACACTCGTCAGCAAGGCTTATCTGCAATCTTGAAGAAACTTATGTCTCCTATGAAACTCGAACTCACATTGCAAATCTGTCTGATAGAATTCAGTCTGCACCAGCCAAAGGACTAGACACATGACACTAGTACTTACTACTTAGTGTTCAATCAAAGAACGTCGTTTTGTTTGTAAACGAGAGAGCTTATTTTAAAGCTTTCTGTCCAGCTTCCAACCACAGTTAAAGGCATTTGTTAGACGGATTTTGATATTCTTACTTGTGATAGTCCATTTTTTCTTTTCTAAATACAGTCATAGTGATATATATATATATATATATATCACTAACTCAGTGGAAACTCTGACAAACCATCAGTAGTACAGTGGTAACTTTTTATGCTACAACCGTTTTATTCTTGTGAATAAGCCATGTTTATGGTCTGCTTACTTTTTTCAGTATCTAGGGTATTCACACCATTCTAGTTTATGTAAAGGTGTAAACCTAAGCAGTTTTTTTAGCCATTCTGATAGTGAACTTATTTTTATTTTTTTGACTACTATTGACAAGACGTTAGCTTTCTACTGGTTTGATTAATTTCAAGACAGATTTGATCCCTGCCCAACACTGTTTGGAGAAACAATAAAAACTGATTAACACTCAGTGTGTCATGCTAGTTTGAGTCTCTTTAATAATGTTCACATGATTTTTCAAGCAGTCTAGGCTGTGACCAAGCAATACGCATTAGGATCATATAATCAAGAAAAGGAATGAAAACAACTCATTAATATTAACTTACCGGAGTTTCTTTTTCAATTCCATATGTTCTTATGTCACTATGGTAATCTGAAGTTTGAGACACTTCTCCGTCTTTTCTATTTGTGTCTTTTTGTTTTGATGTTCTAAATGCTGTTAATCGTTTTCTTTCATCACTATAACTGTCATCATTACAATGTTGATAATTATAACTGTCACTTCTGTTAGTTTTATTGCTAGTAGTATCACTCATCAGGACAGAAGTGGTTTGTATGGTATTATCGAAACTATGACTAAAGCAAACGGATTGTACACTTTCATCCCTAGTTATTTCAGTAGTTGATATACTTCGAGATACACTAGTTGAGAATTCAACAGATGAATTTAAACTTCTTGATCTTTTCCTTTCACTTGAAAGTATAACAGTTTTATCAGATAATTCGTTTTTATCTCCGAAATTATATACACGATAATTATCTATGGAACAATGAGGGGATGCATTCCGACTCGTGACAGTATAATGCATTTTTTTACTCATTGTCTGCGTACTTTTATTTAACAGCACTGGGTATTCAGTTACATTTAACATTTTTATTGACGTTCCGTTTGTTGTGAATGTCTTGACCTTTTGTTTCATTGTATTTGATTCAATATCAAAATACATAGAAGTCGTTGATGAGCTTTGTTCTAGTAAAACTTCAACACAGTCCAAGTTATTCACAGTTACATTACTGTTCACTTCATTGGTGTACAAATGATAGCACACAGAATTTGTACAATATCTTTCGATATACATTCCATGAAATTCTGAAAGTAAATTAGACCATCTGTTGAAATATGAAGGGACAGCAATTCCTTGGTTGTATTCTATGTCGTTGCACGCATTCTTGTTACTTTTCAATATATCCTCTTTAACTTCTCTACTTTTCTGATATAGTTTGCACTTATTATGTACTTTTTGATTGGTAATACACACGTTGAGTTTAATTGAAGTGATTATCATCTGACAAAGAAAACAATGCATTTCTGAACAGTGTTCTGAAATACAAATCATATCCATTTCAAAGATATTTACTTCTTCTATTGCATAATAATAAAAGTGGTTCAGAGCAAATGATAAAGCTTGTAAATTCTTTGTCCCATAACTAGTATGACGTTTTGTTTTTGTTTTGAAATTCATCATATTTTTAAACAGTATTTTAACGCCTTGAAGTTTATTACCGTTCTTTCTACGACCTTTCGTTGCTGGCTTCGAAGTTGTTGCTTTAATGATGGTAACATTTGATTTGCTAAATGTAATTTCATTTAAAATAATAAAATGAGCATCAGGCAGGTATTTGTCTTGTGAACACTTGATAATATTTGCTTTAGCAGTCATATCCATTAATGAAAAGTTATTCATATGAATAATACTTTGCATTTTCATGTCATAATTGAACCATATGATTTGCTGACTGATATAAATGATTGGCTTTAGAAGTGTAATTACACTTTTCGTTAAATTATTCACTTGATTCATTCGGATTGATGCATTTCTACGAGTTACAGTGCTACTAATCCATGTTTCATTCACTTCAAAATGAAATAGTATGCAGCTGAATATTTCCTCTGGAATATTTATGGTATAGCCTGTATTAATTGAAACAAAAGCTTTCAACGTTTTTAGATGTTTAAATACTTTTAGATACCATATACCCAATTCTAATTCCCCACTGTAGGACTGGGCTGTTTCTGTAGTGTGATACTGGTCAGAGATGGCGTTCATTTGTTGATTAGTATTAAGGCCATTATTTAAGTAGTACGTTTCAGGTTGAATCATTTTTACTGGATAGTTAAAAACATTCTGATCGATATCTGTTGATTCTTCTTTCTTGAATGTCACACAATTGATACATGATTAGGTCTGAGGTACAATTGTGTGGTTATTATTATGCTCCATGCAGTTGAATTTCTCCAAGCAATTTTCTACCATTGTCTCTTCAGTATGAAAGTTGTTTAAATTAGTTCCTTGCAAGTAATTCGTCTTAGGAATAACGGATTTCTTACGAATGTTTTTATCTCTCGGTTTGCTTAAATTCATAGTAGGCTGAATATGATGTTGTGCATAGAAATAATCTTCTGCTAGACAACAGTTTCTGGATTTATCGCATTTCAAGTTATTTTCCGATCGAAATACCACTTTCGATAATCCCAGTATTCAGTAAATTTGACAATTGTAAATGCAGTGAATAAAAAAGAAAATTTTAAAAAATATCAGATTAAGACAATTTTTTTCTGAATTAAATTTTTGTCAAAGTTCAGTTAATTTCGTAACACTGTTAAAAGTCAATTACAAATCTCGCATCATTTTGTCAGAGCATAATAATTTTTGAAGCATTTATCAAGGTTTTATCGTGACGTTTTTGTCAAATTCTCTTTTTGTTCCTGGAATCAGAGTCTACTGATCATAGTGATTCGATTGCACCTTCCTTTCGCTTTTAAATTAGCCTGGAAATGTTATTATAGCTCTTCACACAATAAAATCGACTTTATATGTATATATTTTTTTTTACGAGTTGATCACGGACTGATATCAGTTAGAGAACCATTGAAAACCAGGGAGTACTGGACAGCTGCTGCACCCAGTGTGTGCGTACTGCCGATGATTCCCAAACTAGGATGAAACAGCAGCTGTCCAGTACTCCCTGGTTTTCAGTGGTTCTCTAACTGATATCAATCCGTGATCAACTCGTAAAAACATAACTAACCCTTACAAACCAAACTATAGAAAATTTATATATATATATATAAGTAAATCTCAGGGAATCGTATACATGGTGCCCTTGAAAAACACCGAAAAAGACAGCCCAAGTTAAGAGCATCAAATCACATCATTTTATTCCACAGGTTTTCATTAGCTTCAGACTATAAGAAATTTCAGCGGTTTTAAAAGAATAAAAGCTAAATACTTTAGTGTTGGGATGGTTGCAGAGAAAATGGTGTAAATCAGGAGATCAAAAATGTAAACACCATTGTTTGTATAACTTGGTTGGTGGTAGTTAGTTGTAGAATTCAGTACGCGCGTTTCATCTTACTCGGAACTAGTCAGCTTGATGTTCCTGCTCCGCAGCGACTGCTGGTATTCTCACAGAGACTGAAATCCAACAACCATTATTTAAAACTTCTACTAAAACACTGAGCGTTTCAGTCTAACATAGTGGACTAGTGGGATATTCATAAAAGGTTCTATGAATCACGATTCATAGTTCTACTTTGCAATCCGCGTAAACTGCTGACGACTTGGACTGTAAATTGTTATGATTGGAACTTCAACCACTCAATTTATAAAATTTTCTGTGCGACCATTCCAACACGGAACTATGCTATTTTCATTCTTTTATAACCACTGAAATTTCTTGTAGTTTGAAGCTAATGAGGACCTGTGAAATAGGATGATATGAATTTATGCCACAGATTCGTTTGTTTTTTGTTTTTATCGAAAATTGCATGAAATGTTGTCATCACGAGCAGTAATTTTTACTAGAAAGTTAAAACTTCAAATTCTTTGTAAATATCTATCACAATAATAATTCTCACACTCATCATAATTTTTTTTCCTTCAAGTTCCCCAGTGGAACATAGGGCTTCAAGCTAGTGACTTGAAGTTTCTGTAGCAGTGTTTATTTATTTTACAGGATGAAGTTGCTAGCCTCATTCCCAACCTTTCCTCTTCACCAGCATTATTTCTGGCTTAGCGAGGTAAAGGAGTGCGTCGGCCGGGGATCGAACCCCGGACCATGTGCATGATCGGCGAGCGTCCTAACCGCTATGCCACCGACGCACACACTCATCATAAACTGATCTGTAAATTCGTGTCATATCTTCTCATGTCTTCAAGGCTCTGAAATTATTATCCTTATTCAAATGTTTCTCATTGGTCATATATTTTTCCCTGTTCAGATTGCAAATACTCCCACTTAAAGAGCTGGAGATATCTAAAAGAGCTTTGTACTTGTCACATAAATTATCCAACAGCAATGTTCCTTTCGATATTTATTGCACAAAGAGGATGAAAAGAACATTTTAGCATAACTTACCATATTTTCTATATCACAAGTTCCATCGATGGCTGTAACGTCTAATAAGTTGACAATACTCAAGTTACTGTTTGTTCGTCTTGCACTTCTTTTCCTGTTCCCTAAATTCAGTAATGTTTTTTCGATGATTACATTGTGTATGAACATAAATTAAACTTACCTAATTTCATTTTTGAATTCATTCCTGCCATTTTCACTTTGTTTAGTAGACTTTTTGCATGACTAGCTTTTCTATCACCAGACATTTCACTGCTTTTTAGATTTCGGCAATTTTTCTTATTAACACCTTCACTGCACTGTCCGTATTTTTCCAATTCAAAGATTGTTAATTCACCAGGACGAATTTTTCGTTTATATTTATGAACTTTGTTTTCATGATTAGATTTAAATTTTCTGGTTGACATTGTATTATTAATGAACTTTTTACCGGATAAATTGGCAGTATCAGTGATAATGTTTGAAGTGTCATGAACTAATAGTTGCTTCCGTGACACCTGTTTAATATTTCTATTAATAACTTTATAGTCAGCATTAGACAGGTCTGTTTGTTGAGTATGTTGTTGGCAATTACTATAACACCAAATTAAAGATGGTGATAAGTGAGCTGCTGGTAATTTTTGTGTTTGTTTTAATACTTCATTTGTAGTTTTCAGCGTCTTTGGTGTTTCAGCTAATAGCTGCTTTTTCAGTGTTAATCTGATATCATTTTCATCGCATTGTACTTTGACTGATATTTTATGATTTTTACAGATAACTGAATGAATTGGTTTAGCTTTTGTCGACTGATGTGGTACAAGCTTTTTTACATGAGTATTTTTCTCAACCTCCGGTACGTATAATATTGGTTTTGTGGTTAATAATAATCTATTGTCTGAAAAACAATTACCTTTAGAATTAATGATAATATTAACTGGGAATCGATAAGAATGGTCAGTATTAGTACGATTATGCTTGTTTTTACTTTTTATCTGTGTACTTGGTGTTGTCGCATTGGTAAATAATACACAGTCGTCTATTTCAGGTAAATACTGTTGATAATTATATGGATATTGTTTATTTATTTCAAGAGTTTCACCTCTTGAGTCAACTTTATTTGTTGATGGATCTACTAGGGTTTTATTATTGAAAGTAATACAACAGTAGTAATGTTTTGGATCTAGAAATCTATTGACTCTCATTTGTGAATCTGGAATGTTGAAACCTTGAAGACTTAGCATAGGTAACTGATTTGTTTGACTTTGTGATACTGAATACTTTAAATTTCTTGAATGATGATGACAATCAGAGGAAGGAAAAGACGGAGATACATATATATTATTGATTGATGCCTTTTCTTCACCAAGACTTATTTCTATAGGGTCGAGGAATTTTGTGTGTGTTTGAGATACGCTTTCATCTGTTAATGGTGAATTTTGTTTTTCATTGTCAATATTATTTATAAAGTCTGTTGTAGCTATTGGTGTTGTCTGTATCCTGTTATCATACTCATCAGAGTCATACAAGTCGTAGTGATGCAATCGGTCATTGTCTGAATTATTCGACTGAATCTCAACTGTTTGTTTATAGGCAAGTAATTTTTCACATGGTTCTGGTGAATAACAATTTGTCAGACTTTTATTCGATGAGTCAATTTCACTTATTGGAATGGACAAAGAGGATAGACTTGTTATTAAACACTCAGCTATACCGTTAATCATACCTCTTTCGTCTAAATATAAACTTGGCGTTTTATCAACTGTACGCATATAATTTACTGGCAGCCATGCAGTGACTTTTCTTCGTTCCAGTGTTTCTGTTCTTAATTGTTGTGTATCATTACTAGTTGTATTGATCCATTGATTCGATTCACCACTATCTCTCTCTATCTCTTCTTCAGTATCATTATCTGTCCGACCAGTTATCCAGTTACTGTCCATTTCATCTACATGATCACTCAGTGACGGTGAACTTTGACTTTTTGGAAGTAGAACAAACTGACTGTCAGATATCGGGTGGATAGAATGTCTTATAGTTAAACTTGGTGTTTCAATTTCATACGGGAAAAAACAATCTTGTTTGGTCATCCGTATGCGTTTACGAAACTGTAATTTATGTTTTAATGGTTCAGATGATGAAAATGTACTCGATTTTTTATGTTGATCAGAAGTAATTTGTTTAACACTTCTTGGTATTGCAGCACTGTTACAGTGGTATTCACTTTTATCGTAACATGCTGGTTTTTCGAACTGTTGATTAGTATTAGCATCTTCAACTAAGGGTGTCGGTATTTTTGAATAAACTCTACTGATGTAATTATTATGTTTAAAGTTGCTTGTTTTATCTTTAAGATGTCTACTGATTGCGCAAAATGTTTTCTTATTCATACAAACCAAATATGTGGATACCACGGGATATATCACATTTGAAACTTGGGTGAAGTGAATTTGCTTAGGATATTTAATAGGGTAAAGAATACTGTCTGTTTCCTGGTTCACAGACAAGTTTGTAGGCTGAATACAATAAATTGTTTTATTTAGAGAGTCTCTACTATTCAAGATTGCACTGTTTATCTGTTTTGGCATGTTAGACACACAGTCAATGACCTCATCGAAGAAGATATCATTACCTGTTTGACTGCAACTCTCATCGCCATATTTATTGCTAAAAGAACCGTTGTTATTTAGTCTACTATACTCAACAAGTTCTGTAGTCTTTTCTTTATTCTCTATTTTCTCACGCTCACCAATATTAGTTCTGCCTTTTTTAAATTTTCCTGAATAGAGAAGATTTCGAAAAAAGTTAAGTCTTTTTGAATTTTTACCACTTGTTTCTTCTCTCGCATTATGTTTCTTTTTATATTTCCATGACTTATATCTTAGATTTTCAGTATTCCATTTCGAGATTTCATTTATTCTCCTTGCACTTATTTTATTGATTTCTGACTGCTTGTTTTTGGTATCACCAATGTTAAATTCTCTACTGAAATTATTACTTGCATTTCGGTTAGTTATTAGATGAATATCTTGGTCGCCATATTTGTTGTCATAAGTGTCATTAGAATACTCTAATAAAGGTGACATGTTCGACTGATTAGAAGACCAGTTAAACAAACTAATTATTGACGATGATGATGATGATGTGTGCAAAGTGGTATTTATGAAACCACTGAGATTAGCCTGGTTGTCTAATTCTGATTCAGATATATGATGCTGAGCAATAACATTAAAACATGTATCATCATTATTGTTACATGGGAAAATGTTTGTCCCGATAAAGCTCCTTTCAACTGATTGACATCTAGATGTTTCCGTGAACGAATTCGACTTATGACGAAAGTCATGCTTATCAAAGGCATTCCTCATTATAGGAACTTTGTCTTTTTTCTGTTTTTTCTTGATAATAGCCTGAGAACATTTATCATAGCTTTTATAAAAGTCGTCACTTTCTCCCTCACCTTCATCATCACCATCATAAACGTCTTGGATGTTGTATTTGTATTTCGGACAAGTTCGAGGTTTCATTACGTATGCATTTGTATTAGACTGCAGTTGAATAGTTGTATAATCTATTTCATCTAGCTCATCATCACTGAATAAATTATTCCCTGAATGTCTCATATCATTTTTATCCTCACTTTTGTCATTTAATTTATTTAAGTTAGTAACAGTAGGTAGTGAATTATCCTGAGAAGCAAAAACTTTATCTTTACTTGCCTTTCTTCCTAGTAAAATACTTTTTCTTTGCAATATCAACTGGGTTGTCTGTTCAACTACCATTGAATGCATTATTCATAAATGATGCATTGATTATACTTATTTGATTTCGCGCATAAATTATTTGAATAATATAAACAGTTGAAGTTAAATCTTATAAACTGATAAATTGGGATTTTCCATTGGCCATAATTAATAAATACAGCATCTGTTAGTTTTTGTAGGATACTCATATAAATTTGAAGAAGTAAATAACTACAATAGTGACTAAAATCACCTTCCCAGAGAACGTATTCTTAAAGCATTACGGTTGTTTGTATCACTAAAAGAAAAGTAATTTGAAATGTCATTTATATAGATATCGATTTTTAAGGTAGGATAATTTGATTGGTCCTTGAACATATATCTTTTTATTACTTCCTAAGTCTTCAATGATGAATGTTGAAATGTATCTGTAGTAAAATAGTTAGATAAAATAAAAAGGAATAATTTTAAAAATGGTGATTATGATGGTGATGAGATATTTACGCATGTTCTGACTCAACCAATAAAAATTAAACAAAACCTGAATATTTTTATGAGACTGTTCAGGCTCGATTACTGATTGGTCTATCGGTTCCATTGATTTAACCTACAAAGAACTTACGAATAATAGCACTGTAGATTATAAAACAAATAGAATGGAAATATATGTATGCACAATTAGAAAAGAACTCACTACTGTCAGAAAATCTTAATCTAAATGACAATAGTTTAAATGAAATTAACCTTTTTAACTCCAATGGGAGAAATCTGAAAGAAACAACCTCCTTTACCTACCTGGGATGCATCGTTTCGACTACAGGAGGATGGTACTGATGAGCATATCAAAGCGAGGGTTGGGAAAGCAAGGCAAGCTTTCATTTCCCTCAAGTTTGTGTGGAGGTCAACAGCATTCAGCATGAAAAACAAGATGCGGATTTTCAACTCCAATGTGAAGTCAGTGCTACTATACGGATCAGAGACTTGGTGCATCATGAAGGGCACTTCGAACAAACTATAGAATTTTATCAATAGCTTTCTTCGCTCAATACTACTCAAGATGAGCAGGTGGCCAGAAAAGATCAGCAACAGGGATCTCTGGGAACGAAACTACCAGGAACCGATTGTCCAACAAATATTCAGGAAGAAATAGAGGTGGATTCGCCACAATCTAAGAAAACCATCAAGTGACATCACACGACAGGCTCTCTGTCGACTGGAACACAAACGGGCAGCGGCAAGTTAGTCATCAATGCAAGGGTGACATGGAGGAGATGAAAGCATGTGGGCAGACGTGTAGCCAGATGAAAACGTTGGTAGAGAACTGGATGCAGTGGAGACGTGCTGCTTAAGCCCATGTTCCTCTAGGAACTAAAGGAAAACAAGAATAATAATAACTCCAATGAATTATTTTTGATCTTTTACACTTCTGCATGCACTTGACATGCAGTCCTAACTTTACTTAACGACAGCTGAACTCAAGCACTGACAGGACTTTTATTTAAAATAGTAGTTATGGAATAGACCAGTTGTTGGAAGAAATTAAAGAAATCCTCATCTACTTGTAACGATTCAACATCTCAGAATTAAGTAATTAAAAATACAATACACCCGAAAAAAGTGTAAATTTTTTAGAAATAATTCTAAATTTTGTTTTGGATTTGACAAATAAACTTATAGGATTAAAGTATCAAATTCTTTCAATAAAACTGATGGCCTAGGCTATAATAAAAATGAAAAATTGATGTTTTACTATTCTTGAGGTGACAGTCATGGTTAGAACTGAACTCATTTGAAGTGTTTCCTTTAGAACGACTAAAAGTAGGTGGAAGTGATAAAGATGGTCAACTGTTAAATTTTTAGGTATACGCCAAGGAGACCATTGGGTGAAATCACGCGCTAGACCCTAGAGTGAGGCCTTAATGGGAAACGATGAATTGGACGTCTGGGGGTGACACCAAAGAGATCGTGTGAGGAGGAGATGAAAGCTTATGGGTAATCGTGAAGATGTGCTGCTGAAACCCTATGTTTCACTCGGAACCCAACGCAGTAGTCATTATAATATGGACTCGTGTTAACTTCGGATGAAGATATGAATGTCCTATACTGACGTATATATGAAATTCACAATGTCACTAAGATTGCAATTTGGATTACCTTGTTATTTTAGGAAAAGAATATTTTTTAAAATATTGTAGAGGTGTAGATATTTGGTTTTTTCTTATTTGATAAAGATGAACATAAAGACTACCAACACTACTACAAGGAAATTAAAAATCACTTCAGACTAAAATCAGTCACACTGCTACAGAAACTTCAAAGCACAACAAAAATATGATAAACGAACTTATTCTTTACTGGAATCAAAGAGGCGAAATCATGCGGGCTGGTGAAAGCCCTAGGAAGCCAGTCAGTGGATTTTTCTTCTTTCTACAAAAGCAAAAATAAGTATGGGGATATGGGATGTTCGAACAATGTACGAAGCTTGGAAGGCCAAAGAAATGAGAAAATATGGCGTGGAAGTGCTAGGAATCTGTGAGAGCAGATGAAACAGATGTGGACTATCCAAATTGTCAACTGGTGAGTCAGTAATCTACTCCAGTCTGGTCACCCAGACGACAACCACCAGCACACTGAGGGAGTGGCTAACATGATATCACCAACAGCATCTAAATTTGTTGTGCCGTGGGAAATAACCTCCTCCAAGGTTGTGATAGCAAGATTCAACTCAAAGGAAAGGAAAGTTTCAATTATCCAATACTACGTGCGTCAGTGGCAAAACGACAGAATGCTCGCCAACCACGCAGGTGGTTCCGGGTTCGATGCCCAGCAGACGCACTCTCTAAGCTAGTAATAAGACTGGTAAAGAGAGAAGGTTGGGCATGAGGCTAGCAACCCCATCCCGTAAAAATAAATACCACTGCTACCGAAACTTCAAAGTCCTAGCTTGAAGCCCTATTTTCCACTGGGAACGTAAAAGAATAAAACTACAAATGATTTCGTCACTACAGCTGTCAGAGAAAAGTTGGAGACACTACGTGGTATCACTGAGGAAACCTGTGCGGAAGAACATTGGGACTCTGTGAAGGTGCTGTTCAAGGAAACGTGTACAACAGTTTTAAGAAGAAAAAGAGGCGAGAAAAGGAATGGCTCTGAACGAGTACCTAGAATTTCAAAGAGGAGAGGAGGATAGTGAAGGAGAAGATGACTCAATGCAAAGATGGACAACAGAAGGAGAAGCGTAGTTCAATGTGCACCTCACTGAATAAAGAAGTGAAGAAGAGTGCTAGGAAAAACAAAAAGCAATTCTATGAGCACTGACAACTGAAGCAGAACAGGCAGGCCACAGGTAAAAGAGACCTCAGAACATTATATCAGATAACTGGATCTCTATCCAAGAAAAGATCAACGCAGATGAAACCAATGAAAGATGGTTATGGGACAAATTGCCAAAGAGGAGAAATAAGTTAAACAATGGGCCACCACCTACAACCCGTTCAGAAATACCACCAACAGTAGGCACACAACTGCCAGTGGACACCAATCCTGAATGCAATGAAGCTACCGAAGTCCAGGGAGGCAGCAGGACCAAATGGAATTCCCCCTGAAGCTAAGATTCATGCCACTACTGCAAGACGTTTGGAAGGAAGTAAAGGTACCTACTGACTGGAAGAAAAGCTACCTTGTGAAACTTCCAGAGAAGAGTGACTTAAGTCCCTGTAAAACTGACTTGGTCTCGTGCCTTTGTCCACTCCAAGAAGTATAATAATTCGCGTCTTCCTGGAGAGAATAAACAGTGCAGAACTACTCCCAGAAAAAGCTGGTGAAATATGGCCTTGTTGTTTCAACTTTTCTGTAGACTCTGTTAACTGTCTCTCAGTCCTCTCCGTTGTTTCTTTGTCAGTTGATAGTTTCTGAATTTTAGGTCAATCACTTAATAAAGTAACCATTTTGCTAAAGTAATAAGACTTATCCATGATAACGACTCCTGAGTTAAATTTTTACTGAAGCCCGTAACTACTTGGAATTAACAAAACTGTTTAGGGTAAACTCTTATTGTTATTACCAAGAGGAAGAAGTGGTTCAGTCAGAAGCACCATAATAGAACACTTCGTCAACACCTGTCACAGCATCTCAACTGACTCAGCATTCAGATTCATTTACAAAGTAAACAAAAATCTACCAAGGACAGTGTACTTCCGACTTCCCTGTATTGCAGAAGCTCTTTCAATATGCATCGAAAAGCCGGAACTATCTGTTCAAAAGAAATTAGTCCGACCTCAACATTTAGTATGGATCTAGTTCAGTTTAACCCTTTAGTTTTCGCGTTGTGTTTTTTCATTCCCCTCGTGTCTTCGTTTCCAGTTATAAAAACTATTATTTTAATTTGTTTCCATGCTCATCCCATTCATACCTGTCTTCGTTAAAAACTATTTTATACATTGCGCAACTATTCTCTAATCCTGCGTAATTTTGTTCCTAAGCCTCTTGTAATCTATATTCAAACCTTCGAACTTTCATATCAAGTTGAAAACTATTATCACATTTGACCTATTCCGTTGTTATGTGGAACTGAATAATAATTGTATCTATGTAAACTTATGTATATAAATGTGATTGTACAGTTTTTGAGAATGAAATCACCGAAAAGATATCACTGCCGAGCTTCTTGTTCCTTCCTCTCTGATGTCCTGATGGGCATTTTTCACGATTTTAAAAGTATGGTGACTTACAAAATCTTCTGATACAATATAAATCCCATGCACAACAGTGTATTTTAACGTGATATCTTTAGTTGCCTTACTTTGAATATATAGTGGTATTGTTCCGTATACTACTGACAAAGTTTATAAGTAGTACGTAGATACCAATGTAAATATGTATGTAAGCGTCAAAAATATCGTATAGCAGAGAGATGGATTTAATGAACGATGCTTGAGTAACAAACTGCAAAACATGACAGGCAAACAAATAAGGTTTATAGGTGTGACTGATTTTGTGGCTGAATTCTTCACAAACGGACATCATTTTAAGAAATCCAC